CCTTTTAAAAGTCTCTGAAAGTGTCGGTTGTTTCAGTGCCGTTACCTGAGTGGCCGCTGTGTACTCGTCGTGTTGTTGTTGGTGTTTGTTTCTCAGGTGGCGTATTAGATTGGTCGTGTTGAACGTAGCTCTGTTCTTTCCACCACGCGGAACCTCCGCCTTGCAAACATTGCATCTGGCTGTTACACTGCCTTCGCTTTCAATTTTATAATACTTCCAAACTCCTGACATTTTCTCTGTCCCGACTCCCGAGGCACCAGCTGAACGTAGCCTCTCGTTAGCTTACTGCTACTATTAGACACTGCGCCCTGCCCACTCTGTTGCCAGATTTGAGAGAAGTAAGCAACCAGGTCTATGAAAACAAGCCCAAAAGAAGCAACACATACATGATGTTGTGTAATTTTAAACCAAAACTAAGGCCTCAGGATGACTTTAAGACGTGAACATGGTCATTTTTGTTTTGTAACATTAAATAAAATAATAAAAATGTTTTATTAAAAAATAAATAAATAAAAATAAAATTCCCGATCCCCGATTTTTTTCTCCCGATTCCGATCTTTTGAAAATCACGTGATCGGCTCCGATCCCCGATCACGTGATCGGATCAGGACATCTCTAGTCTGTGGTTTGTACTTGTTTAACTTTTGTCTAGTTTCTGAACATATATGAGGAGCTGTGAGCTCTGAGTGCTAACAGCTAACGGCTGATGTTGGTTTTCTGGGGTTCTCATTGAAGATGACGTCACGGCTCCGCCTACACTGCATTACTATAGATACTACCCCAGTTCCTAAACTGTAATGGAAATGCGCCATAAAGTGAGCCAGTCCTAACAAGGCCTAGCCATACCGAGCGAGGCCGAGCGAGGCCGTGTAGTGGAAATGCGCCATAACCGTCCTGCCTTTAGTTTAGCTATTCAGCTTGTCTTCCACTCCGCAGTGCTAATCTGTGGAATCTAAGGACACTGGTTGGGCTTAAAGGGAATAGGAATAGAAATTAGTAGAACGAATATTTAAAGAAGATCATGTTTCCACTTAAATAATCAAAGCACCAAGAATTAGAACCAACTCTGCACTGCCCCTTAATTCTACAGAGCGTCCCGTCACATTTCCGCTAACTGTTTTGCATTCAGCTGTCATGCACCACATGTGCATGCATCGCAGAGGTTTTCAGCAAGATAGCTCTGATTATACAAGCCACCGACAGAACAAATTAGCAACTAGATGTTTAACATATTAATAGGATAGGATTATGTCTTTGTTGTGTTTACAGATTGTTACACTGCCCCTGATTGGGGGGAAAAAATCACAACATTCTTCTCACATTTAAATGAATCTGTAAATATCTAAAGCTATTTGTTGAACCAAACATCAGCACTGCCAAGTACACATTGCAGGTCACCCTTGAAAAATAGATATTTTGATCTCAAGGGGCTTTCACCTGGTTAAATAAAGGCTACAAACAAACAAACATAGCACATTTTGAAAAAGCTAAAATATGTTAATAAACAACAGGTTATTCTGCTTACTCAATCGTAATAAAGCATCTTTTTAGGGGCATAAAGACTGAAATACATGTTGTTCACTACAGCAAGACAGTTTCATCCCACAGGCAATAAGACTGTTAAACACCTGAACTGCTGAAACAACATCCACAATATTCATCTGGCTGCTACTTAAAAATTATTTATCTATTTACCCAATATATCATATTTCAATGACTTGCATATAGACTCTTATTGCACTATTTCACTTTTTTAGACTATTTTCTTCTTGTATTTACTATTTACTTGCACTATATTTTTCTGTTTATCTGTGTTATTGTGTATGGAGGACTGAACATGACTTAAGTATAAATAAATAAATAAATAAATGTGTAAATAAATGTATGAAGAAATACAGGAATAAGTAAATAAATAAATAAATACAGGAATAAATAAATGACGAAATAAATACAGGAATAAATAAATGACGAAATAAATACAGAAATAAATCAATGTTGAAATAAATACACAAATAAAAGAATAAATAAATTCATAAATAAATATGGAAATAAATACACCAATGTATAAATAAATAAAACAGAACACACATTATTATATATCTTTCATATATTTCTACATTTACTCGACATACATTTATTTATATTTATGTGTCCGTATGCTAATGAGGTGGGCGGTCCTAACCTCAGTCTGAAGCAGGATTGGTTACAGGAGTGTGTGATCATTTCTGGCAGAGGGCTATACTAACGCCTGGCTAACCGCGCTGATTCGAATGCAGGAGCTTTACTGTTTAGCCCTTATCTTTATACATCCATGGTTTATCCACAGTTGTAAGGATTATTTATGGGTATTGGTTTAAGAGCCATTGGAGATCATTAGCGGACCATTTAGAGAACGGAGAACCAACAGACTATGTCCTCTCTATGTCCAGTTTCGTGTGGAACGATGTATAGAGGACTTGGCTCAGCTCGACATGGATGTGGATTTTAACCCAGCTGTGTTTGAGAGTCTTCAAGAGTTTGCCTGCCAACTTGAAATCCTCTCGGAAACAGGAGGCGACCCTTGGGCGTCCATCTTACATGTTGCCCCCAAACGTTATTGAAGCACATCTTCGTTGGGGGCACACCGCTGGGGACATCGCGAACGGGTGTGCGAAAGAACAATTATTAAAGAAGCCATTATTAGCGAGTTGCCGTGGGTGTACACTGTACACAGAATGAACAGATGTGACTTGCCACAAATCTCTTGCTTCTGCCTGGCTCCAACAATTGGCGAATCCTGCTTCAGACTGAGGTTAGGACCGCCCACCTCATTAGCATACGGACACATAAATAAATAAATGTATGTCGCGTAAATGTAGAAATATATGAAAGATATATAATAACGTGTGTTCTGTTTTATTTGACTTTTATTTATTTATTTGTACATTGGTGTATTTATTTCCATATTTATTTATGCATTTATTTATTTACGTATTTATTTATTTATTCCTGTATTTCTTCATTCATTTATTTACACATTTATTTATTTATACTTAAGTCATATTCCGTCCTCCATAATTGTGTTGCACTGTTGGAGAAGCCTGTGACACAAGATTTTCATCGACGTAACTACACTGTAGCTATGTTCGACAAATAAAGAACCTTGAACCTTGAAGTAGACCCAGCAGGGTCACGTTTCACAAATCCAAAATAAAATTTCAACCAAAACCATCATAACTTAAATATCACTGACAGCAATGTACATCATCATTTCACTACATCAAATAAAGGATGAAGAACAGTCGGCCATATTTACATGCAGCATGTAATTCAAGAGTTTCATTTGTTTAGACTATTTCAACTTTCCATTATTCCTCCTTGTAAAAATACTACACAGCTTCCTAGTGCATGTTTGATACGCTGCCAACTAGATAAAAATAATCCTAGCTAATAAATCCTCATGAGCCTCATGTGAAAAGTTATTTACACTCACTTTCTCCCATTAGTGTTGTCACAGAGCTAATAACCACACGTACAATGCACAGTATGCAATGCACATGTGTATGCTAAGTTGCTAAAGTATTAGCATGGTAAAGGTAAGGAGACATGATCACTGGTGTTAGTGTTCTCATCAGTTAAAGGGTAGGCTGACTTATGGGATAAGTTAATGGAAGCAAATAAGTGCCATAAAGATCTGAATCTTTAAGTAACTGAATGCCTTACTATGTCATTTAATTACTACAGAAAACCATTTCATTACACTGACATAGTGTGTACAAAAAAAACATACTTTCATCAAATAATGAACTAAGTATTTCTGTTCACGATTACATATGAATCATCAGAATAGTTGTTGTAAGGTTGAACGCTTATGGTCACTGTTACTCCTTTCCCACTGAAATCAGTTCCGTGCTGGTGCTAGTTGTTTGCAGTTGGTTCAATTTCCAAACCAAATGAGATCCAGTTTGGTTGTCGAGCGCACATTGCCCGAGTGGAGCCAAGTCATGACGTCAAGGTTAACCAGAAAGAATATCATTTAGAGCTGTGTTTATGTTGCTCTTAATATTATAATAATAGTAATACCTTTATTTATGCAGCACTAAAACAAAGTAACAAAGTGCTTTACATGGCTTAAGAGCAGGCCGTTCAGGCGGCAACAAAGCATGCGGTCACAATTCCCCACCGCCCCAAATCAAATACACAGCATATCAACAACAAAAGCAGTAATACAAAAAAAGAAAAGTAAAACATATTCTTAAAAGAAACACTGGGGTTAAGCCTACTGTTTACTAACGGCAGCTGCCGCTGGAAAGTAGTAATTCTCTGTCTGACTGTCACACAAATAACATCTCCTGATGCATTTTTCCCCATAAGTGAATATTATTTTAGTGTGAATTGACATTGACAATGTTGCTGGTGTAAAAAATAAAGAGAAACGACTTATGCCGATGAAGCAGTGTGCTGCTCTTCAAAACGGTCAATGTTAGCTAACGGCTGGTTATTAAAAGTAGGGTGAAAAATAAATAAATGTCACATGTATGACCTCAAACATGATGGTTATGATGCATATTTGATATACATCTTAGAAAAGAGTGATTGAAATAGGGACAGCTATGTTGAAAGATAATAATGTCTAACTTTTTGTTTGTCACGTCAAATTCTTCTTTCAAAGATATGGATGACACAATTCTTTAAATTGCAGTAGATGCGGTCTTGTTTGTCCTTGAATTCATAATAACTGACTTTCAGTTTGTCAGAAAGTAAAACATATTTTGTTTTGTATTGGTTCTTTAAATGTGAGTGGCAAAAAATGACTATTTTGGAATCATTAAATATTCTAAGTCACAGGTATCTTTTTCTTTTGTCTTTACAATAAAGCGAATCCTATACATTAGTTGTCTACGGCTGTGAAGTCACCAGATGGAACCAGCTCAATTAAAATTATGGCTTTTCTTTCTTGTTGGATTTAAATTGTGTACTTACAAATTCATAGATATCCTATTATATGGTGATATAGAAACTTAAATGTTCTCCTGCTGATGGACGGCTGCAGGTCTGTCTGCTAAATAAACTGTAGTATCATCTAATGAAGGCCAACCTAACACCTGATCTCCAGATAGAGCCGTCTCAGCTGGACCCCCAACAGATCTGAGAGCAGCTGGGCCCATGTTGGTGGCATGGTCTGCTGCCTTGCCATTGACAGTTGTTGTCTCCTGGTGGCTGCTTCCATTTTGCTGTGAGGTCATCTCAATTGCAGTTTTCATTAGGTCTCTCCTAGCCTTTTCATTGGTTCCATTGCTATCGGCCTGCGAGGTTCGTGGGTCTCTGACGGTGCCGAAGCCAGTCTGAATCATTGATAGTGTCCTATGATTAGCCTCTGGTCTCTGGCAACGGTAAAGCCCGCGAAAGGCTGAGCGAAACTTCTGAGACATAGCATTGTATATGACAGGATTTATAGCGCTGTTGGCATAGATGCACGTCCGACAAAACAGGAGGAACCAGGCATCCAGATAAGGTGTGGACACAAAAGAGTTGATCAAAACTAAAGTCCGGTATGGCATCCACAGAAGAGCAAAGAGGATCACCACTACTGCCAGCATCTTTGTCACCTGAGAAGTAGAGATAGCATTACACCACATTAGAGCAGCTGTGATTTAAGATATAAACAAATGAAGACTCTGATTTATTGACAAATGTAATCCTGTTAGACAAATCAATCCCTTCAGCAACAGTTTAGCCTCTGATGGTGGCTCTAATGTTCATCATTGGCATCCATTGTTATCTCGCAAACGAGACTGCCAGGTGAAGTGAAACACCCTCAGCATGCCTTGACCGTCGTCACCACCCCACCACTGGTTGGTGACCATGGTAAAAGCTCCTACATTTTTTAACCAGTGCGAGACATAGTGAAGCTGAAAAGATTAATTTAATCAGTTGCCAATAACAGCCCCCTTCCACCCAGATCCTCCCCTGTGTGACAGGTAGATACAGGAAGTGCACACGCCTCCTCTCCATAAGAACCTTTTGGAGATGATTGTCTGTGTCCAGCTCTTAAGCAGTAAGCCAGTGTAAGCCAGCTTTGCAGGTAGTTAAAAAGGGAAACTGATGTACAAGAAAATGTTTATTTAAACATGAAGGAGCCAGGGAGGAGAGCTTTCTAATTATATTTGTGCTGCCATAATGAGGCAGAAAGCACTGGGATGACATTTTGAATATGCATATTATGACTGACATTATGGATACTTGACTCTCTGTCATTACACACAAATCAGATCTGAACACAGCATCCTCCAAGAATGAATCCAGAAATCAAACCATATAATTCACATTCAGCCTCTGATGCTATCCACTTACCCGGGGCAACAACGACCAAGCCTCCCCACTTCTCCTCTTCAACATGCACTTGAGGAGATCACAGACATGAGAAACTCTCACAGACTATACGATCTCACATCCCACTCTATTCATCTCAAATCATAAAAGTGCCATTCTCTGGCATACACAAGTTTATCAAACTCCTATCAGATTGAGTTATAAAATGATGAATGAAAGAGCATAAAGTGCCTATTGAACAAGCGAGAGAGTAAAATCATCTGCAGTATTAAGCACACTTCAATGTAAATCCCAAATCACATTATGCAAAACTTTGGATCCTAGATGGAGCCCCTTGAACGTGAGATTAGGATCTCCTCTGCCTTCTGATGAGAGTTGATGAGTGAGCCTCACACAGAGACACAGTGACACAGATAATCTCACACTCCTGGACCCATTAGTGGAATGTTTCATGTGCACAATAATGAATGTTGCCTTAAGGACCTCCCATTGTTATGCTCTTTCATGATTTTTGAAAAAAGTAATTTTATTGACTGTTTCTTTCCTCATTGACTGCTGACACTTGCGCAGGGTCGGCTTCATGGGGGGTCATTCACGGGCCATGCCCCCCCCAAACGAGTCACTGTGCCCCCCCAACGCAGGGCAGGCAAGCCCTGACACTTTTGTCTGTGTTTTGTTTTGTTATCATATTATAAGTGAAAACGTTTCCACTAAATGTTTTTTGTGTGAAATAAATCAGAAATATAGAATACAAATAAAAAACAGCCTGAGGTGTGCTCACTGCTGCTCGTTGATTGGTGTGTTGCTTGACCAATGACCCCCGACCTTTGTTTTGTTGTCATTACGTGGCTGACTGTTTAGTTGTAAGCCCAGTGGCGATCTGTTCATCTGTTACACTGATTATACAGTAAATACATCGAAAATAATATGATACAGTACAGTACAAGTACTTCTGGGTCTCTGTGTTTCATTCAAGCTCGGCTCATATGTGTGGCAAGAGCGCATTTTGTTGTTGTTAGCATCTGGTTAGCTAGCTATGCTAACGGATATAAAGAGCTGTTTCTACAACAAGTGTGGAGGAGAGTCCTCTCCTGTCAGACTGAGAGGCTCAGATAACTACAGCTCAGTGAGGTAAGGTCAGGACTCTGTCAGTGTTTAGATCATTAACTTAAGTTATCTCAGTAGGTCTCAAACGGTATTTCCGAGGAACACCTTTATATGATCATTATAGTTATTATTAAATAAGAGAATAAATGAAAAACAGGTATGAAATACTATATGACAGTAAAAGAAGAATAAAGTTTAAAAGGGGAGTGATTTGTAAAATAAAGAAAAAGTAAATCTGTTTACAGTTCTGTTTCATATGGGTGTTGAGAGAGGTATCCATAGATCTCTTAATTTTGCTCTCAAAGTGCACCAGATTGATGCTTTTAACTTCAATATTTAAAAAACATCTTCCCGGGGGAGCATGCCCCCGGACCCCCCTAGAGGAGGTTAGGTCCACCCCCCACCTAAAACATGTTCACATGGATAGGATATTAATAAATTTGCACACTTTTTATATGGTGGCCTATGTCCATATGTTTCTGTTTTGGTGGTCGTGCCACAACCGTGCATGTATGCACAAGTCATAGGTGCGCAAAGAAATAACACTACACCCTGCAGTGTGTGTGAAAACAAGAGACTTTACAACATGTTTTAAAATTGAAGTTGCTTTGGTGTTTGTGTGTTGGTTGTTGACGGCAGTGTGTGCCCCCCCCATGGTAAATGATTGCACCCCCATTCGATTTGTTCTAGAGCCAACCCTGCACTTGCGCCTCCCTATAGACCACAGAGGACAAAAAAGTGCTTCAGTTTAGAATCCAATTTCTGCTGGGGATTAGCAATGGTCCTGTCCAGATTTGCATACTAACGATAATAAATGTGTTTGTGATGAACACATATCTTCCCAAACACGCTTCCAGAACAAAAGGGATGTTTTTATGTATGTATGTATGAATGTGTCTTTATAACTTATGATTAATAAGTCTGTTGTTTTGTCTGTCTGACTTTTGTTTTGTTATGTTTGTTTTTGCTATATTACTTGTAAAGCGACCTTGGGTCCCTTGAAAGGCACTATATAAATGCAAGCTATTATTATTATTAATGACAGAATAATACTAATTAAGTATGTGAGAACATCTCTTCAGGAATGGTTTTCCTTCTACAAGATGTAAGGTGTTATGATTAGCTGATTATCACTGAATATAAAGTACGAATGAGACGCTAGTGAGGTCATTTTCAGGTATTGTATCATAAATAAAGTAAAGTACACTATTGGTAACTAAAGTATTTTTAACTTGATGATGGCAATGAATAAAAGGTCAGGGGCTCACCATAGTTTAATCTCTCCTCTGGGATGTATAAATGTTATACGATTAATGAACTAATTCATCTTTAATCAGAACAGTTTATTCTCACTCCTCCTGCTGCCTGTAATCAGCTGATTATGGGCGGGCGTCCACTCTATTAGTTAACCGACTACTTTTAGACACAATCTCCAACATCCAATCATCATGCTGCTGTCAGATTTTGTAACTGTTCGGCTTTGACCTGTAGTAACCTGTCATTTAGGGCGTCCATGCGGGGGACATCCCCCCATCCACCTCCTGTCGTTAGATCCACGTCCAGCCAGGCTCCTCAACTTCACTCAGCATCAAATCGTGGGTTGCGGTCCAATAGTCCATTTAGCTTAGGAACCTTCCTAACGGAGTGAAATGACCCTGGAATTCCCTCAGTGGCAGCCATGATAAGTGCCGTTCCAATTCTCTAGATCAGGGGTTTTCAAAGTGTGGGAAGGTGAGCCTCCCCTCAGAGAACATAAGAACAGCCGCGCCCCCCCCTCCCAATTATTATTGCCATTATTATTATTATTATTATTATTGTTGTTGTTGCTATAATGCAGGGGTATTATTATCCAGTGGAAAGTCCTTACCTACTGGCCTAGTTAAATCAAAGTGGTGACTTTTTTTTGGCTGGGCAGTGTAGTTTTACACACCGTCTTATTTGACTTTCTCAGGACTTAAAACAGTTTTTTGGGCGTAGACCCCCACAAAGAAAAAAATATATTTACACACGTAAGGTCATCATCTTAACAGTTTTTTATGCTCATCGAGTCATACGTTAGCAGAGCATCAAGTTGACATGCCTATTACAGCTAAATGCGGCGATTACCATGTTGTTCAGCAAAACGCCTCACAAACTTATTAAGATCAAAGCTTTAGTGCGTTTTGATTCAATGCTGAGTACAGCCAAACTTGACAGTCTCTTCTCTGTCATTGTAGACCGCAAACACCTCATTCCTTCCGTCTACTTGGATCCGAATGCGCCATCCCGTTCAAATGAAATCGCCGCCTATCACATTTCCTCGCTCGCGCCAGGGCTGGGGGAGGGGTTACAAGGCTCGCATCTTGTGCTGCATTCACTTGCACTCGGACATTAGAGACTTTCTCTCATAAATGTCCGATGAGCCACAACTTTTATTTCAAAACAAAGCTGACGTTTTCTGCCAGACGCTGTCTCCTCTTTCACTTTAGGTAACTTCACAAAAAATCGATCCATGTTGCCGCTCGCATAAAGTTAGCTGAAGTTAACTAGCCAGATTTCACTGTTTCTCGTTATTTCTTTCTCACGCTGCGCCTCCCCTGAAGCTCTCTGGCGCCCCCCAGGGGAGGCGCGCCTCACACTTTGAAAACCGCTGCTCTAGAAAGGAGGTTTCAAACTTCCTTTATAACCTCCTTTAGCTTAGGAACCACTGGACCTCCCTTTACGTAAGGAGAGGAGAAAATGCTGCCCCACAATGCCTTGCAGCCGCAGTATTTGCCGTCACACAACAGTCGGCCATTCACGGAAACAACCGATTATGACCGAGAAATGATATCATGAAAGTTACTGTGCTTATTAAGCTTTTTAAAACGTATGTGGTAAGTTGCCAAAGTGCTTTGTTTTGAACGTTCATCAGTATTATAATCAAAAAGAGAAATATGAACGTTAGTTTTTACTGAAATGATCAAATAAAGTCAACATTTCGCAGTCTTTACTGAGCTGTGTGGGGGTTGTTCAACTTTTAAAAGATGTTTGAATGGTGATATACACAGTGATAGATGTTAAGGACTAACGTTTATAATAAATACATTTGTATTGATTTTAAGATCTTTTCATAGTTCATACAATCATACGTATTGGGATCATTTGTATTAATGTGGACCGGAGGGAGAGGGTGACGAGCATAAGTTTCACTTTCCTTTTTATTTCAATTCCAACTTTGGTCATGAAGAATATGTTTCTCTGTTGTCCATGTTCATAAAGCATAAAACAACAGCATCAGAGCACGGTGCAGAGTCTCTAGATGAGTTTACAGTAGTCCCTCGTTCTTATTAAACATCCATGTTGTAGTCCGCTGTATAGAAAACTGTAGTTTCCATAGTTTCCCCACAGCAGCAGCAGGCGCACATTTATGACCTCCGCTGGCGCATCATAAACACGTCGGATAGTGAAAGTGCAGTCGGATTCTCTAAAGTACCGCAGTCTCTTCTCCTAAATACTTTTGAATTCTCCTATCCACTATCCCTTAACCCCGTGACGTTTCACTCAGAGGTCAAGGAATAGACGATAGGGTTAGAATTTAGGAGCTGATTTTTGGATTATTGGATCGCAACCCAGATCTTCAGCATGCTCTTCCTCCCATTGGTCCCCAGGGGATAAATATTCTTTAAGCCAAAATAAGTCTCTCCTGTTTTAAATGTACATTTTCTCAGATGTCTCCAGATAAACAAAGTGGGGCAGATGCTGGATGTTTTCAGATTAAGATGGAGGAAGATTTTATTCAACTTTTATCCAAAAAGAGAAAACTGGATGAAAAACCAAGACAGCATGTAATTATTTATCTATGGTGTTATGGTCTGTCAAATTCTGTGCATGTTGAGTATAATGTGCTCTGTATATGGTTTTGTATTGGACGAGATGAAGGTATGTAATCACACATTTTCTTTCCATGTGGGGACAGTGAAATCACAGAAGAAAAACTACCACCATACTTTTTTTTTTTTGAATCCTGTTGACACTAATTCAGAACTGGACACAGATTTCTGTCAAACTTAATCTGCAACTTCTGTAGCTGCTCATTGATTTCCAACTCAGGCAAAAATAAAATCCCACATTAAAAAAGAAAAAGTCTACTCAGTGTTTTAAAAGTCGATTCAAAAGGTCAAGGCGGCCCTTCAAGGTGAACCAGGCAGATAACCTGTAGGAACATGACTCTGCCACCAGAAGAGAGGGAGACAGGAAACTGAATTGTTGATTGAACAATAATCAGCTGCTGAAAAACAATCAGACAAGGACTTCATTTGAAGCTTAATGGTACCTTGGTAATGCTAACACCTTCTTTTGTCTTCCATGTAATAACATTAGAAGAAAAAAGGCTAGTTGAAAGAATCTATTTTAAGATGTTTGAGTATAATATATATACATACATACAGTATATATATAGTTAAATACAAAAATGTACATTCAGAGACAGAAACTTTGGTTGCTTTAGTAGCGAACACAGATCTCTGTACAATGGCTTCTTAATTCCCATTCAACTTTTGAAAGAACAAAATGTGAACACAAATTAGCCCTTCCTCGACAGAGACACACTTTGTTGTAACCCTTCAGAGTGGATATAGGCTTCCAAAGGCAGATGCTTTTAAGAGCACACAGCCTGAGGGAATGTTTTGCAGGAGCACCATGTTTCTGTTTCACAGAGGGCTTTCTCTGTTAAAGGCTCTTTGACTGCTCAGCCTGAGGAAAAGAAGCCATTACTGCCACGATTGCCTTCAGGGCCTCCTAACAGTGAGGACAGAGAGGTGCAGAGAGGCCACTGTTCTGAGGCAAAGGATAATCACCATGCTGTGAAGACGGAATCGCTGCCTCTATATTCCCAGCAGATCACACACACAGCCAAAGACGTGACCGGGGTCAAATGTGACTAAAGCTATCGCACAGCAATTACTTGTGTAAGCAAGAAATGACAGCGCAGAAGGGGTTAAATGTGGGATGGGGCAGATACCTGTTTCCTGGAGGAGAGGGCGCTCTTTGGCCGGCTCTGGCGACCCGCCTTCCTCCCAGCTTCAGAGGCGTCCCGGCAGCTGCGGCGCAGGGTGGTGGCGCTGGTGTCAGGGAGGGTGGACAGCGGGCTGGGGGGACACAAGCAGCATGTTACATCTGGTCTGCTTCTAGCATGTGCTGTAGGGTTTATGTATGGGTCTTGAAATCCTGTATAAAAAAAAAGGAGGAGCTGATTTGAAACAAAAACGACTTTAGATATTGTTTTATATACTCTTTACCCAATTGTGAACAGATGATCACTGCCTTCTGAATCCAGTAGAAGGTGAAGCCGGTTTCTTCTAACCCATATTAGTGCTAACATTTTAAATGGGGGCTGGTATAGGTGAACCTCTGAAACCACTGGAGCCCATGTTTTCCATAATGAAGCTGGAAAGATTATTGCATTGTGACTTTGCCTGCACTGAAAAAACTGAAACAGTGACTTTAACTAAATGTCAAAAAATGTCACATAACTATTAGGTTAGTTGTGTTAATGTTTAACTCCAAGGCCAGGCTGAGAGAAAACAAACGCAAAACAACAAATGACATCATCAGGGTTATTCTCGCAGACAAGGCTCCTCAAGATCCATAGAAGATTTTCTTCCACTCTTTCACAGGCTGGGCAGTACTTCTCACGCTGAATAAACTGATACTTTACATGTTTAAAATTGGTGGAGGGTCTAATGAATGAATGAATGAACGAACATGTATGATATGGTGTGAAAGTCCTTTAACAGTACCTGAGGTAGAGGATCCGTGCTATCAAGCCATACAGCACGATGGCGAGGAGCAGCGGTATGACGTAGAAAATGGCGAAGTCAATGAGGTATATGGGCAGGTAGAGCTCCCGTTTGACTTTGTAGCCACACTGCACATGTCCGTCCTGGTTCACCTGATGTCACACATGGTAGAGACGCTAGGTTAAAACAGGCATCCAGCTCATACACATCTTACACATCTCAACACAATGACACTACTCTCAGAAATTCTACAGAAGTCTTACAAAAGTTTGACAGTTGAACCGCAATATGAACAATTGTTTATCAGAAAAAAAAATCATGTGTTCATGACTCATGTAAGGACTTACTTTGCAGTCCCTGTGAAGGACATAATTTACTTATATAGCCTCCCATAGCAATGTATCAATATTAAAGTATTAAAATATATACATATAAATGTACATTTGCACCTTACACTTCATTATATGTATGTTTATACTAAGAAAACTTTTTTTTATCAAATGCCTAATTTTTGAATAGTTGTTGATCAATCTGCTGCAGGTAAACCTCTCATTCATTATCTGTAGCTGCGCTTTACAGGGTTGGGGGGGCTGACGTTGGGCGAGACACGGGTTACACCCCGGTTGACAGATGAGAGACAACCATTCAAGAGCACATTCAAACAAAATGTAGAATCAACATTTCTCTAACCTGCATGTCTTTGGACTGTGAGAGGAAGTTGGCCCCATGCTAACACCAGGAGAACATGCAGACTGTACACGCCCAGCAAGCCAGTGGGCTCAAACCCAGAACCCTCTTGCACACACAAAGGAATGCAAAATGCAGTATATACATTTATTTATACCTGAATGTCCACCAGGAAAAACCACAACATGCAGTAGACGCAGGTGAAGAACCACACGCCTGCGATGATCCGCTTGGCCCGGGACACTGTGCACACGGTCTGAGCCTTCATGGGATGGCAGATAGCTATGTACCTGCATGCAAAAAAATGGAAGGTTCAAACACAACCATGGCTGTTAATATGTTAACCCTGAACATCTGTTGGTAGTAGATAACACTGTGTAATCACAGCGAGGTTTACTGGTTTTAAGTTGTCTACATTACATTACAGTACATATCATTTAGCTGACGTTTTTATCCAAAGCTTCTTACAGTTAGTGCAGATATATTCACTTCAAGCAAGATCATACCATAGTAAGTGCTGGTGAATCAGTTACAAGGCCTAAATTAACTCTAAACTTTTTTTTGTGTCTAAAAATGTGCAGCAGAGCAGTGAGCAGCGCCTCCTCTCTTGCTAAACGTTATGCTAGCTTCTTGGTTTATAGGCCTGAGGCTGTGTGTGAGAGTTTTCCTGGGTGTTCAATCATTCATCTAAGCAGTTGGCATTAAGATATGGAGAGATCACCAGGTTTTTCATACAATTCTGCCTCGGTCACAGTTCTGATGGGATATGTGAAGAAGGCCACTGCTCATCATTGACTATTTTCTTGTTTCATAGCTTATTAGCTGTTTTTGATGGTTGAGATATTAGATGACATTACTGCATTACATTTTATATATATTTTAGGTGATGATCGAGATAGACAGAACAAGATGCACATCTTTCTATCTCTCTCTCTAAGATGTACCTTGTGCTGCTTCAGCATTTATGTTAATATAACAGTTTATGATGGGCCAAAACATTCCGAAACTTTAGGTCTAATTTTGTATAATTGACTTCATGACTTTTACTGTACTTGTTCTGTTGAATGTATTTGTAGGAGGTTTCTGTGGTGGGTTGTGTTTTTCTATGTGTAGCTGGGGGCTGACTGCCTGCCTCTGGCTCCAGAGCTCCTCTCAACACTGCACTTCCTTGAATCCTTACCAATACACTGCACATGTGTGAAGTCCATCAGTGAACGGATGATGAAAAATGTGGAATGAATACAGAAGTTAAACTCCTTCCTTTCAAAAACATTACAGACATAAGGTTTGGTTAGATTGTGGCACAATAACTACTACAAAGATAAGGGAAACTCTATAACCACTTTATTTAGCGAAGACATTGAAATGTTTTTTGAACAGCAAATTACCAAATTGTGCAAATAAGAATGGAGCACCATAGATTGCACATTGACTGTCATCGATGTGATGTCAGTGGTTCCTATTTTTAAGAAAAACAAGACGTGCCATCAGAGGACATTCTGACTCGTTCACATATAGAGCTTAAGTTTAAACACTTGTCCAATGCAGCCTATGCAATTTAAAAGACAAGTAATTTTTCCGCGAAAGTAAAATCAATGCCAATAACAACTCAACAAATGAATGTCCAGCCGAAGCTGTACAGAGAAGAGTTATCTATGCTCACCTCTCCAGGGTGAAGGCAGTGATGGAGCAGGAGGACACGTTTATGCCCAGGTACTGAAGGTAGGTGATGCCCAGGCAGCCGGCGTGGCCAAATATCCACGTTCCCGTCAGACTGTCGGACACGTTGGGCAGCCCCGCCGCCACCAGCACCGTCAGGTCCGCTATGGCCAGGCTGACCAGGTAACAGTTGGTGGGTGTCCTCATGTGACGGGTGGTGAGGACCACGAGGACCACCATGATGTTTCCCACGATGCCCGCACCACAAACCACAAGGACCAGGAACACTGACACCGCCTTGTACTCCAGCGAGTCAGAGACGGCGGCGCTGGGACTCAGAGAGATGTTGGTCGGGGTGTCCATTCTGGAGCTCACGTTGTTAGTCATATCTGCTAGCCGCTGGCTTTTTACACCCCAAGTGATTTTTGATCGCAGGTTATGTTCATTAGATTAAAATGATGAGGGGCATTACCCTGTAATTTTGCCATGTTTTTCCCCTTCATATAGACCATTAACTTCTAATTAAAGCCAGCCCAGTTGTAAGTAACATGACTGGAGCTAACAGGTTGACAAGCTGAGCTATCAATACATACTACAGAGGAGACGCTGGGAGTTTGCTTGTTACAAGTCTTTGACCTTGGTTTTTCCTTTTGTCACTCACCTTTACTGACCCATCATTCATCTTCCTTTCTAATAAGTAGAGGGAAAAAACAACGTTGAAAATGATCCCAGGACTTCCACTCAGGCCCCCTCTGAGTTACCTAGAAATATAAAAGGAGTGCAATTAACTGGACAAAGAGGGAACTGATTGAAAATAAACTTTTCAATGTCAATGTCAAACCCACATTAACACCTATAGAGACTTCTCTTTGTGAATCTCTCAACTGCAATTCTGGCAGACCAAGTTGATATATGCTTCTTGGATGTGCTCGAAAAGTGGTTAAAATGGTGCTTAAAACCAAAGATTGGGTGGGTTGAAACGAAAAAAATAAGCTGTAATTGCAAACAATATGTAAGGAAGACTTAAGTGGGTATTCTACATGGGAGCGATGAGAAGTGAGGCAGGGACGAGCTCTGCCTCACGTAACCCTACAGCAACTGGCTGGAGCACGGGCACTAATTTAGCGCGAGCACTTATTTTGTGCCCGCGCTCCAGCCAGTTACTCTGTGGGGTGAGGTGAGGCACAGATGAGATCTGCCTCACCTCAGATGCGTCACCCCACAGAAACTGGCTGGAGCGCGGGCACTAAGCGCATGCCTGTTACCATCTCACTGTAGGTCACCAATGTAATGTTTGTAGATCCCTTTATTACAGGAGTCCTCGCCATCCATAGTCTCTAAATAACTTATTTCACGTATATATGATATTTAGGCTCGCTGGTCTCATCGTACAACGGCAATGAGAAAGCACCAGGGGAGGCAGCCATAACCTCTGCCGCACTGAAGGGGGCGCACGTGAGCACACAGGTTCTTGTTGCTACTGTAATTCTACGCAGAGACGGTACGCAAACAACAAGCTAGACTTTTTAAACTACAGGAAGATAAGGAGGACTTTTACAAAAAAGTAATAAAGATTGTTGTCCAGAAAGATAGCATGGACTTCATCTTCAAGTCAAGGTAAGACCACATTTGCAATGAAAATGGGATCTTACTAAGAGAGAACAATCCAATATTTAAATTGTGGGTATCTTTTTGTTGAACGGTCTGTTTAAAATGAATCGAAGCATCAGACTAAAAAAGCTTTTGAAAATAACAGAATGTTTCGATTACGGTCAAACTATAATATTTGTAAATCTGACTCTGAAAGAGTCAGTGCCTCACCATGAACCTCACCGCACGTCACTGTTCTATTGGTAGTATGTTTCGTGCCTGCACCACGTATTTACTCAACAAAAACACACAATTATCCTTGTTTTTATTTATTTGTTTAATTCTATAATATCTGTCTTTTTTGCCGTCCGTCAGGAACTGAATTTCAAAATAAAGTCACCGGAAACAGACGTAGGCGATACACACCCACTAAACTGATTACCCAAGATCCTCAGCTATGGTTGAAGCTCAGTGATTGGATGTTTTAGCCGCAATGCACGTTGGGATATGGTGTTAATGCGATATGAAATAGCAAATATGTTTTACTGAGTTTAGGATGGCCGAAGACACTACACTACCCATAATCCTCAGCTATCGTTTGGGACTACAGGTCCTTTGCTTGACAAACCCCGTGATTAATCTTCAAGCTCTGTGATTGGATGTTGGAGTGGCAGTGTGCCAAGGTTACGCCGAGCGTCAAACAGCTCTATGAAATTGAATGAAACCACGGCAGACTATCCAAAACTGGACTCGAACGGGTCCAGCCCCGCTAGTTACTTTACAGATTCTGATTAATGATGTGAAATATAAACAACCCTTAAATCAGACTTTAGTTACACCTGAGTCAAATTCAGGGAAGGTGATTGTCAAGTGCCAACAATCAGGAGAGATATTTGATAGTTGGTGCTTGAAAAGACTAAACATTTATCTGCAGATCTCTATAAAGTATATTCATTACTCGTTATTCTCTACTAATAGTTAATTAAAAACTGTATATAATGGCTAATTTGCACATCCCTTTCAAGATTTCAAGATTTTCTAAGGTTTATTGACATATCATATACACCAGTGGTTCCCCCCCTTGGGGGGGGCACCAAAGATCGCAGGGGGGGCGCCAGGCCTCAGATGATTTGAGGCCAAATATCATATTTAGACTTTTTTATTTTTTTTATTTTTTATATATATATAATACATGATTGTCACTAAAAGCCTTGTCGCTACATTACAATAAAATCCAACAGGAGTCATTTGGGGGGGCTCTTGCGAAAAAAGTTTGGGAACCCCTGATATACACAACTACGGTGTAGTTATGCAATGAATGAAAAACTTGGGTCGCAGGTTCCTCAACAGTGCATTACAAGACATATATCAATATGTGTGTATACCTCCACCATTAAACTGTCATATTCTGCACATTTCTTATACTATCTACATACATAAGTGTATAATTAATATGTATAATATCAGTTAAAATAAGTGCTTCAACATAGTTAACATTGCAGGAAAGCAATATATTAGACGTTAAGTACTTTGTCAGGCTTAATATTTATCTGTAGATACCCCCAAAGCTTTTTTCTTATTTAAAAGAAGACCTTAACCTAAAGTATTCTTTAATGTGTTAATAAAGGTTAATTAGTTTGTCTGTTTTGCACATCCTCCTATTAACCTCTTTGTACATCCGGCACTAAACTGTTTTATTGTAGAGATCACTTACAGTATCTTCTTCTTCTATATTTCTATCATTGGCCTTCTACTTTCCCCCTATTTTGTACTCTTAATATTTACATTTTTTCATCAAATATAACATATTCAACAAAAAAATTCAATAACGTGCTTTCATTTCATTTCATTTCAAACCTTTATTTAACCAGATTGGTCCCATTGAGATCATAGATCTCTATTTCAAGGGAGACCTGCAGCATATAGGTTCCACATGAAACATAAAACAATAAAGGACATCATATATTATATTTACAGGATACATTTACATAGTTATAGACATTTACAAGTACCCATAGTATCAACGAGCATTTCATTTAGCCTAGCTTTAAAAACATGCAGAGGAATGAGATTGCTCAGTTTTAATTCTTGCTGAAGATTGTTCCAAGCAAGTGGAGCTGCGCACATAAAAGCTGTCTTACCTAAGACAGTCCTTGCTCTTGGCACATCTAACAAGACTACATCATGCGATCTCAGACAATAGCTGCTTGAAACTCTCTGTGTTATCAGAGAGCAGATATAATACGGGAGTTTACCCAACAAAGCTTTATAAATAAACGTGTACCAATGACTGAGCCTCTGTACAGTAAGTGATGGCAAACCTGCCTTGGCATACAGGGTACAGTGAAGTGTAAGTGCTTTACAATTTGTGACAAATCTCAGTGCGCTGTGATAGGCGGCATCTAACTTGTTCAGGCAATGGGCAGGTGCATTCATATAGATCAGATCACCATAGTCCAGCACAGGTAAAAAGGTCACAGTGACTAGCCTTTTTCTGGCTTCAAATGAGAAACAGGACTTGTTTCTGAAAAAGAAACCAAGTCTAACCCTAAGCTTTTTAAGCAGGTTATTGACATGAAGTTTAAAAGTAAGACAATCATCAAGCCAGATACCTAGGTATTTATAACAGGCAACCACTTCTAGTACTTGTCCTTGCATAGTAACAATATCTAAAACAGGCTCTGGTGTCTTTTTAGCTTTTGAAAAAAGCATTACCTTGGTTTTATCAACATTTAAAAGAAGCTTAAGTTCAGAGAGCTGAGTCTGAATAATGTTAAAAACAGCCTGTAATTTAACAACCGCCTCCTTAATCGAGGGACCTGCACAGTACATCACGGTATCATCCGCATAAAAATGTAAAGTAGCTTCATCCACATTTTCACCTAAACTGTTGATATATATGGAGAATAAAAGTGGACCTAAAACAGAACCTTGGGGAACACCATTAGCAATGTTTAACCACTCAGAAGTGAGCCCATCAAAGTTAACACATTGGGACCTTTCAGAGAGGTAGTTCACAAACCACCCCACTGCATGGCTGGATAAGCCAATACTGAGTAGCCTCTGCTTTAAGATGTGATGATCGACGGTATCAAACGCTTTGGACAGGTCAATAAATAGAGCTGCACAACTCTGCTTATTATCTAAAATACTCGTAATGTCATTCACCACTTTCATTGTCGCAGTGATGGTGCTATGTTGCTTTCTGAAGCCTGACTGATGTTTAGACAGGATGTCATTTTTACATAAAAACTCCTTTACTTGTTCACTCACTAGGCGTTCAAGAACCTTAGCCAGAACTGACAATTTCGAGATTGGCCTATAGTTATTTAAAATAGTTGCTTCCCCTCCTTTTAGCAAAGGCAGGACATAAGCTGACTTCCATACTTTTGGAATTGCATTTGTGCTGAGGGAGAGGTTAAAAAGAGTAGTGAGAGGTGGAGCAATAAAATCTGCAGCTATCTTTAAAAAGAAAGGTTCTACGTTGTCCGGGCCAGCCGGTTTCTTAGGATCTAACTTAGATAATGCTTCATGAACAACATTAACAGTAAAAGGAGTAAAACTGAAAGGGTTTTCCAGACCACATTGTTCAGAGTCACAGACTGTGGTGTTCACAGAAGCAGAGTTAGTCACAGAATCAAACAGAGAGCCACAGGACACAAAATGCTTATTAAAGGGGACCTATCATGCAAAATGCACTTTTGTACGTCTTTTATACATGAATATGTGTCCCCGGTGTTCCAGGGAACTCACCAAGTGTCAGAAAACACAACCCTCTCTATTTTCCTCCATACCCA